CTACTCTCTACTCCATGCTCGCTTCTCACTACAAACTATTCACTACTCACTACCCACTACTCAAAACTCACTACTCAATAAACACAACTCACTACCCACTACTCACTAGATCACAGATCATTACTCACTATCCACTAACCACTATCCATTACTCACTGCTCACACTTCACTACTCACTGCTCACTGCCCACAACTCACTACTCACAATCTACTACTCGCTACTCGCGACTCCCTACTCCCTACACAGTACTCACTACTCACTACTCACTACGCCCGACTCGCTACCCACTACTCACTACTCACAACGCTCCCTCTATTCACTACTCACTACGACCTACTCCTTACGCACACTCCCAACTCACTACTCATTACTCACTACTCACTAACTCCCTAATCACTACTCACAACTCACTATTCATTATTCACTACTCACTATTCGCTACTCCCGACTCGCTGCGCACTACTCCCTACTCACTACTCACTAGTGACTCCTGACTACTCCCTCCTCGCTACTCACTCGCTACTCGCTACTCCCTATTCCCTACAAAGTACTCACTACTCACTACTCACTACGCCCGACTCGCTACCCACTACTCACTACTCACTGCGCTCCCTCTTTTCACTACTCAATACGACCTGCTCCTTACTCACACTCCCAACTCACTACTCATTACTCACTACTCACTACCTCCCTAACCACTACTCACAACTCACTACTCACTATTCACTACTCACTACTCGCTACTCCCGACTCGCTGCGCACTACTCCCTACTCACTATCTCACTAGTGACTCCTGACTACTCCCTCCTCACTACTTACAACGCCCTACTCGCTACTCGCTACTCACTACTCGCTACTCCCTACTCGCTACTCCCTAATCGCTACTCGCTACTCGCTACTCACCACCCACCACTCACTACTCTGTACTCACTGCGCAATACCCACTATTCACCACTCACAACTCACTCCTTCTTATTCGCTACTGTCTACTCCCTCATCCCTACTCCCTGCTTACTACTCACTATGCACTTCTCACTACACACTACTCACTCGTCCCTACTCACTACTCACAATTCCTTACTCACTACTTCCTTTCCACTACTCACTACCCACTACGCACTACTCACTACTCACTAGTCTCTACGCGCTACTCACTACTACCACTACCCATGATCCACTACTCACTACTCACCACTCACGTCTCGCTGCGCACAACTCACTATCAAATACCCACAACTCACCAATCGCTACTCCGAACACTCTACTCCCCACTCGCTAACTGATGGGCCCCCTCCCCAGCCCCTTGTTCGGCGCAAAGGGGGGAGGGGGGGGGGGGTCGAACCCCCCCCCCTCCAGCGCCAAGGGGGGGAGGGGGGGGGAGGTCCGGAACCCCCCCCCCGTTCAAGAGGGGGAGGGGGGGGGGGGTTCGGACCCCCTTCCTAAAGGGGGGGAGGGGAGGGGTCGAAAATCTCACTCCCCCTTTGAAGGGGGGGAGGGGGGGGGGGTTCTGCGAGCACGCCCTCCTTTTGTGTATTAAGGGCCATCCACTGGCGCGGTTTTTTATGATCATCATCAGCATCATCAGCATCAACATTATCATCATCATCCTCATCACACCCATCGACATTATCATCAGCAGCATCATCATGACCATCATCATTACCACCATCCCCATCACCATCACCATCGTCAGCACCATCATCATCATCACCCAGCATCATCATCATCACCATCATCATCACCATCGCAGTCATCGCCAGCATCCTCAGCATCTTCATCATCGCCAGCAAGTATATCATAATCACCACCACCATCATCGTCATCATCATCACAACCATCACCCTCAGCATCCTTATCATCACCACAAGCACCATCACCACCAGCATCATCGATCATCAGGATCATCGCCACCACCACCACCACCACCACCATCATCATCATCATCATCATCATCATCATCATCATCATCATCATCATCATCGTCATCGTCATCGTCATCGTCATCGTCATCGTCATCGTCATCAGCATCATCATCAGCATCAGTATCGTCATCATCACCATCATCACTACTACCATCACTAAAATCACCATCATCATCATCATCATCATCATCATCATCAGCAGCAGCAGCAGCAGCAGCATGACGAATCCGCCGATCCGGCGTGTGAGTTTCTGAAAGCGTGGGCTTGAGCTCGCTCAAGCTTCGCTCTAAGGGGGTCGGGATCCGGCGAATTATCCACGCAATTCAGTGAACGCTCCAGCGCGGGGGGGGGGTC